CTGGAAAAGCTCAGCAGGTCTGGCAGCATCTGTGAAGAGAAAATCAGAGTTAACGTTTCTGAGGAACCCCAGTTCTGAGGAAGGATCGCCGGATCCGAAACATGAACTCTGATTTTCTCTTCACAGATGCTGTCAGGCCTGCTGAGCTTTTCCAGCAACTTCTGTTTTTGTTCCTGATTTACAGCATCCGCAGTTCTTTTGGTTTTTTTTTAGTTGAGATAGATTGTTCTTAATGTGATTTAAAATGTGTGATTTGTATAGATTACGTTTTTAGGGTCTGGATTTCAGGATGGTGTTTGTTACCCTAATGAACATTGTGTTTTTTAAAAATAAAGCCTAGATCAGCCAGTCCTTCAAGAAAAATGCCCTAACCCAATATGTGTCAGACAACAAGGAGACCCTGGAGAATCAATGGAATAAGATGTCTGTACAATGGAGGCTTACAACTGAAGATTGAACACTGAAAACCATTAGCTTGCTTTCAGCTCAGTAAAATCAAGGATTCATTTGAATTTTGAAAGGCTAAGATTGAAAGATTTTACAGCAATTCAGAGGAGACTCAATTGAGGTCAGAAGCGAGTATAGTTTCTGTCCTAATAAGGAGGTTCTTTTTTTACAGCAGGTCAGGGAAACACAGTTACCTCAGTAGAAAGGTTTAGTTTGTGCAAAATCAGGAGTGTTTGATTAGACTCTGAGAAAGTTTAAGCTCTCAATTTGTGAGTTCGCATGTAAGAAAACTTCACATTTCACAGGACACAAACTGGGAAGAATCTGTTAAGTAGAAATTCAAGATTTGAAATAAAGATATCATTTCGCTGGATTTGACTCTATCTATGAATAACATCAAATAACAGGTTAAAACTTTAACGTTTTTGAGAAGATTTGTAGCTTAGGTTGTGGATGAGTTTGTCGACCTGCTCGCCGAGCCGGTGTGTTTGATTACAGATGTTTCGTCACCCTGCTAGGTAACATCATCAGTGCGCCTCCGCTGAAGCTGGAACATCTGTAATCACACACACCGGCTTGGCGAGCAAGTCTACAACCTCAGATTAAAACCGTGTTTTGCTGTAGTTTAAAGATCTTGCTAACTGTGTTCAATGTCTAGATAGCTTGGCTTGTTTTCTTTTGTCTAATAAACTACTGTTGCTAAAGAAAGTCTGTAGCCTTGTGTGACTATGTTTCAGTGACTGACAAATACATTAACTAAATTTTTAAAAAATCTTATCAAGCCAGCTTTCATTCTAAGATCTTACTTGTCCAGTAGTATGACAATTTGGACTCATAACACCATCCACGCCAAAGGCATAGCTGCGGAGAATGTCCTTCATGACCTTGGTATGAATTATATTGGTGCTGTTGAGTTGTGAAGTGAAAATCTGATTAGAGGTTCAAATGAAAGTTGAGAGGAGATGAAAGTTTAAAGACAGAAAAGGTCAGAATAGACTTTTGAGGAGGATCTGTGCTGGGGGCATGTGCCTCAAGGAAGAGAAAAATTTACATGTGAGCTAGCTAAGATCAGGAAAACAATTTAAAATAAAGGCTGGACTACTTTTAAAAGTAACTAGCATCAAAGAATATATTTGTAAAAGAGCTATACTTGATGGGAAGTCAAAACTGTATGCATTGAGAAACATTTTGCTCTAGAAAATGTGCTACTTGAAAACAATGACTTGATAGATAGAAAGAGTAAATTTGGAACACAACACTCAAGAAATACCTTGATATTCTAATTCAATATTTTCATGACAGCTGGGGACAGAGAGTTCCATTTAACTTACAAAAAACAAACAGGCTGTTTAACCCATTAAATCTACACTGGTACTTATGTCCTACACAAGCCTCCTCCCACTTTACCTCATCTAACTCTGTCATTATCCCTCTTTAATTCTCCTTTGTCTTGTACTCAACTATCATTAATTTTCTAATGAGCAAATATGTTCCTTTCAAAGGCATTTGCAATAACATAAGATAGGCAGCACTTATTACAAAAATAAATTCCAGTCAAAGGTTTATACCTTAAATTTCTTGGTTTCTACATCCATCTTTATAAGAGAATCTACCATCATATTGTTTGCTCCACATCCATACAAAAATTTGTATTTCTTCGTGTTATACTTCGCATAGTTAATTTGTGGAAACTCCATTCCACCTTCATCGAAGAAATCATCATCATGGAGGTTCTCAAACTCACACCAAATCTACAACAAAGAAAAAAACTACTCATTATGTTTGCCTTATCTTTTTAAATGTCTCCATTAAACATGGCACTGCCATTTTCCACAAATTATTTGGTACCAAAGAAGCTCAGAACAAATAAAGATATGTCTAAAATGTCCTTCAAGTAAATCAACATTTGTAAAGAGAGTGTTTCAGTGTGTAGACCTTGTCAGATTGTCCACCTTAACTAATACCAAAATGAAGACAGTACTACGTAACATGGCATTACACTGCTCAATAATGTGGCCTAAACTAGCAGATGTGTCTAATGTGCCTAACTAGCAGATAATCCTGACTGCACTTTCACTTCCTACTGTGGTTTTCACTTGTGAAGCTACTAATTTAATTGAATTCAATGTTTTCTTTCCTAGAGAATAAAATTGAGGATTCAAAACTTACAAACAAAATTACATCTTTAGAAACCTCAACTTTTTAGTTGATAATATCATACAGCTGAACCACAATAAAAATGATTTTGTTCAATTTTATTCACAATTTATTGAGCAAGTACTGAGAGAGCTTTTATTGGTTTTAGGTTGATCAGTGAAAAAGTAATTTTGTGTTTATGTCATTTCTATATTGTCCATGTATTGTAACACTGTTTCAAACACAGGAAATTAAAAAATATATTTCACATTGTTAACACATATATTTAAATTTGTATCTCATTACATAAGTGCGCTGACCAAAATGAAAAGTGTTTTGAATAAAACTGAATAGATAACCAATAGTGAATATACCTTTCCATCAGCCTTTCTGAATACAACTGCATTGCTGTATGTCAAAGTGTTGAGGTTCTGATCAATAGGTGTGTCAGAGTTGATATTCAAAGGCAAGACAAATCTACGTGGAAAGCCTTTTGGTAAAGTGTTGTAGACCTAAAATGTAGTAGAATTGATTAGTCACAGACTCACATTAAGGAGGGAGATAAAAGTTAGCAATAAATGCCTGTGAAAGAAATATTGTGTAGGATGTATAGTGCACACAAAACCAGTCTGGCAGCATCTGTTGAGAGAGAAAACAGAACTAATATTTCAGTTCTAGTGACCCTTCCTCAAAACACTGAAAATGGGTCACTGGAATCAAAATGTTAACTCTGCTTTTTCTCCAGAGGCTACTGCCAGATTTGTTGAATTTCTCCGGCAATTTCTGTTCTTGTTTCTAATCTTTGGTATCCACAGTTCTGTCTCATTTTTACGTATAATAGGCAGCTTGTTTAACAATGTAGTTTCATACCACCTCTATGAGTTAAAGTTACCCTGTGGTCTTTCAGGATCCACGTGGTTGGTATGGTTAGTCAAGAGTTGTTATGTATCTGTCAGACACATGAATGACATTCCTTGTTTTGGCATGAGACAGTCCTTCCATCAATATTTTTTTCATTTTTCCTAATTTTTCATATTTCCCTGGTCATATTCTGAAAACATAAAGCAGCAACAGTAGGGAATAACTCAATTTTTCGGATTTCTTTGCTGAATAATTTCTGCCCTAAGTAGAAATGGCAGTCACACCCATTTACACATCACACCCGTTCTACCGTAAATACTCCCAAAACTAGGACATGGAACATAAGAATGCAAAGCGTAGCACAATACTGCACAATAACGTGCCTTGATCTCAACTATAATCCTAACTCCCCACTTCTTTTTCCCACACCAGTCTGTGGTTTTCAAGTGTGCAACAACCAATTTAGTAAAATTCAGTCCTTTGTTTGTATGGGAGTAACATCAAGAATTCAACCTTTACAAGAGCAATTACAAAGAGAAAAATTTACATTCCACTGTGTAAGCTAGAACTGATTGAAAACGTAACAACAACTTGTATTTACATAATATTCTTAGCATAGTAAAACATTTAATATTACCTCACAACAATGTTATTAAGTAAAATCTGAAAAGTTTTGGGACAGGTGGTAAAACGCTTTTGTCAAAGATATAGGTTTCAAGATGTTTCTTACTGGACAGAGGTGAAGAAGCAAGGGATTTCCAGGGCTAAGAGCTAGGCAGCTGTAAGCACTGCTGCCAATGGTGGAAAGGTGAAAACTGGAGATGTGCAGATGGGTCAGAATTGGGGGAGCACAGAATTCTCAGAACATTTAGGGCTGCAGACGGCAGGGAGAGTTGAAGGGATTTAAAAACAAAGATGAGAATTTTAAAACAGACATCTTTGACAAGCTGGAGGTCAATGTGGGCTAGCAAGCGCAAGAAATGGGTGAAAGGGATTTCATGTGAGTGAGGATACAAGGAGAAGAGTTTCAATAAGCTCAGGTTTACAGAGGGTGCAAGGTGGGAGGCTGATTGAAATACTCAAGGCCAGGGGGTGAGAAAAGTATGGATGAGGAAATGAGCTAAGGCACAATTAGGGATGGATGATGTTACAGAGAGGTCATCTGGCAGTCCTGATTGATCCGAAATGGACTTGGAAGCTCATCCCATGGTCAAATAGGATGCCAAGATTCTGAATAGTCTGGTTCAACCTCAGATAATATCCAAGAAGAGACACTGCAGATTGGCAATGAAAGGGAATAATGCAATTTGCTTTTTTTATTTAAACTATTTTTCTAATCAACCTGTTCAGAGAAATTATTACACACCTCTGGAGCAGGTGGGACTTGAACCTGGGCCTCCCAATCCAGGCATACGGACACCACATTGTTACTAACTGGATTAAAAATGTTGTATTTGACAATTATCAATTTTTGTTATAAGAATCATCCTTAATGATACGGAATGGTAACACTGAGACACAAGAGAGCTGCTATTTTTGTGTTACTCTGTCATTGGGCATTCTGTGCACATCACTCACATATGTATGTTCATTATTTGTTTAACCAGATGGCAGCCAGATAATCATTTATAGGTAAAACAGTGTGGAGCTGGATGAACACAGCAGGCCAGGCAGCATCAGAGGAGCAGGAAAGTTGATGTTTCAGGTCGGGATCCTTCTTCAGAAATGTGTTGACATTCCTGCTCCTCTGATGCTGCCTGGCTTGCTGTGTTCCTCCAGCACCACACTGTGTTATCTCTGACTCCAGCATCGGCAGTTCTTACTATCTCTGAGCTAGTCATTTATAGATGATGACCTAGTGTTATTATCACCAGACTATTAATCCAGAGACCCAGATAATGTTCTGGGGACCCAGGTTCGAATCCTACCATGCCAGATGGTGAAATTTTAATTTAATATTTAAAAAATTGTAATTAAGAGTCTACTGATGACCATGAAATCATTGTCGATTGTCAGAAAAACCTATCTGGTTCACTAATGTCCTTCAGTGAAGGAAATCTGCCATCCTTACCTGGCCTGGTCTACATGTAACTCCAGACCCACAGCAATGTAGTTGACTCTCTGAATTGCCATTTGAAATGGCCTAGCAAGCAATTCAGTTGTACCAATTGTTACAAATTCTCAAAGAAATGAAACTGGATGGATCACCTGGCATCTACCTAGGCATCAGAAAAGACAACTGCAGAAACATCTTTGTCGACCCTGCAAAGTCCTGCTAACATCTGGGGGCTACTGTCAAAATTGGGAGAGCTGTCTCACAGGCATATCCCCCACTCAACCACTACCATCAAGCCAGGGGATCAACCCTGGTTGAATGGAGAGTGCAGGAGGACGTGCCAGGAGCAGCACCTGGCATATCTGAAGATGAGGTATTAACCTGGTGAAGCCACAAAACAGGACCACTTGCATGCCAAACAGTACAAGCAGCAAGTGTTAGACAGAGCTAAGCAATCTCACAACCAATGGATAAGATCTAAGTTCTGCAGTCCTGCCACATCCAGTCGTGAATGTTGGAGGCTCCACAAATATCCCCATCTTCAATGATAGAAGAGCCCAGCGCATCAATGCAAAAGATAAGGCTAAAACTTTTGCAGCAATCTTCAGCCAGAAGTACCGAGTGGATGATCCACCTCGACCTCCTCCAGTGATCCTCAGCATTACAGATACAATTCTTCAGTTAATTTGATTCACTCCATGTGATATCAAGAAACGGTTGGAGACACTGAATACTGCAAAGGCCACAGGCCCTGACAACATTCCAGCAAACGTACTAAAGACTTGTGCTCCAGAACTTGCCACACCCCTAGCCAAGCTGTTCCAGTCCAGTTACAATACTTGCATCTACCCGACAATGTGGAAAATTGCCCAAGTATGCCCTGTACATAAAAAGCAGGACAATCCAACCTGGCCAATTACCGCCCCATCAGTCTCCTCTCGATCATCAGTAAAGTGATGGAAGGTGTCATCAACAGTGCTATCAAGCAGTACCTGCTCAGCAATAACCTGCTCAGTGACGTCCAGTTTGGGTTCTGCCAGGGCCACTCAGCTCCTGATCTCATTACAGCCTTGGTTCAAACATGGACAGAAGAGCTGAATTCCAGAGGTGAGGTAATGCTGACAGCCCTTCACATCAAGGCGATATTCGACTGAGTGTGGCATCAAGGAACCCAAGCAAAATTGGAATCAATGGGTAACAGGGGGCAAACTCTCTGGTGGTTAGAGTCATACCCTAACACATAGGAAGATGGTCGTGGTTGTTGGAGGTCAGTCATTTCAGCTCCAGGACATCTGTGCAGGAGTTCCTCAGGGTAGTATCCCAGGCACAACCATCTTCAGCTGCTTCATCAATGATCTTCCCTCCATCATAAGGTCTGAAGTGGGGATGTTCACCGATGATTGCACAATGTTCAGCACAATTTGCGACTCCTCAGACACTGAAGCAGTCCGTGTCCAAATGCAACAAGATTTGGACAATATCCAGATTCGTGTCATTCATGCCACACAAATGCCAGACTATGACCATCACGAATAAGAGACAACCTGACTACTACCCCTTGACATTCAATGTGTTACCATCACTGAATCCCCTCTATCAACATCCTGGGAGTGATCGTTGATCAAAAACTCAACTGGACTCACCACATAAACACAGTGGCTATAGAGCAGGTCAGAAGCAAGGAATACTGAGGTGAGTAATTTACCTCCTGACTTCCCAAAGCCTGTCCACCATCTACAAGGCACAAGTCAGGAGTGTGATGGAACAATCTCCACTTGCCTGGATGAGTGCAGCCCCAACAACACTCAAGAAGCTTGACACCATCCAGGACAAAGCGGCCCGCTTGATTGGCACTACACTCACAAGGCACTACAAAATGCACTGTAGAAATTCACTAAAGATCCTCAGAAAGCACGTTCCAAACCGACAACTACTTCCATCTAGAAGGACAAGGGCAGCAGATACATGAGAACATCACCCCCTTCAAGTTCCCCTACAAGCGACTCATCATCCCGATTTGGAAATATATCACCGTTCCTTCACTGTTGCTGGGTCAAAATTCTGGAATTCCCTCCCTAATGGCATTTTGGGTCAACCCACAGCAGGTGGACTGCAGAGGTTTAAAAAGGCAGCTCACCTCCACCTTCTCAAGGGCAACTAGGGACAGGCAATAAATGCTGGCCCAGCCAACAAAGCCCACATCCCACAAAATGAACACATTTAAAAATCTACATATGTATTGATTTGATAAGGAAGTGACATTCTTCTTTCACATTTATTTTATATTCTAGATACTGTTAATTACATATCAACACTCTCTTCAGATACCTTCTGCCATGTATGATTTAGTTGCCAAAAGGATGGAAAGGCAAACTTTACCAGTATGGTTAATATTTTGCTGCATCTAACTTCTTACACTGAATTGCCTCGCACCACGAAAAGCATGAAGCACCCACATTCACAAACATGAATAACCCAACTGAAATGGGACTCATCACTCAAGGCATCAATACACCAAGGTAATGATGCAACAACATTTTACACTAACCACTTCTCCTGGCAAAAAGAAAATATGAGCACAAAACTCCTTCTGTCACCAAGATATAATTTAGTTTTGTTTCCGTTTTACAAGGCAAATGTATAACTTGTATCTCTACAAATAATAAGGATCTGTTAGAATATTTCTGTAATGTGTAGTGTTTGGTAACAAAGGAATATTGATGCTGAACCCACAATCTATCCAATGCCAAAGACTGTGCAGCACAAGGAACCACTGATGCACCAAAACTATAAAAGATCATTTATTTATCACCTCATCCAATGCTTCTCCAGACTGACGCAAATTTTGTAGAGTTATGTTATTTATAACATTGCCATTGTCAAAGCTGCAGAGATCGAGAACAATAAAGCCATCATCTTCAAATGCATTAATATGATGGAATGTACTGAAGGCTTTGCTGTAATACTTGAAGGGAACCATCTGTAAAGGAATATGAACATGTTTAAATATATGGAAGAGCTATTTGGCTCAAAAACCCAATGTCAAAACTAATTTTAAATTTATAAATTTATTCATGAATATATTTCATTATTGCAGAATACCAAACCATGTTTATTCTTCCCTTATCCTTGTTTTGAAAGCATCATAAATTGTTAATTCCAACAATGAATGAAAGGCTGATAAATCATTAATGTGAAGGAGCAGATGTTTACAAAACAGAATGATCTTATGACTGTGCAGTTAGTAAACCTACAGCTTCTTCCTTTGTTAACTGTATGACCCTAGCATCCCATTTTTAGAATTACGTTTCCTTGTATCTCTTTAATCACACATCCTGCACCCCACCACTTAATCAGGCCTGACTGGGAAGGTGAATAAAATGTTGTCAACACTTTTCTCATACCTCTTTTCAAGACAGGATTGTTGAGCACATTCAGGGGAATTTTAACTCTCAGAAAGTGGTCAACATGGGAATTTAAAATTCGATCAGCGCACTCTCTGCTCACTTCCCATTCCACGTCCATTTTAATGCTATGGTGTTCTCGGCGAGAATAAATTTAAAGTCTTAACGACCATTGGGCTGCTTTTTCGTGAAAAAGTGACAGACCGAGAGAGAGAAAGGGAGAGAGAGAAAGAGGTTTAACCTGATGGTCACCACACCTGAAGAGTTTCAAAGGCCGTTGTTTAACTTAACTATGAGCCGAATGAATTAATTTAAATATGCGCCAATAGGACTTTGATGCAATTTTAACTGCTTACTGAGCACAACGGTTGACCATGGATAAGGACATGGGAGAGCTCAAGCCCTAAAATTATTGAACTTGATATTGAGTCCAGAGGGCTCCAGGGTCCCCAAGCGGAAAATGCACTGAGATTCGCTGGAGCACTGCAACAAGCCTGAGACAGAGATGTTTGCAGGATGTTGGTCTTGTTATCACATAGTCTGCCATTACACAGAGCCCATTGTCAGGCACTAACAGTCCCCATTAACAGCTATTCACCCTTCTAGCCAGATTGTTATCCACTCCTTTGTCTATCCAACTATCCTCTCTCTGGGCTCTATTCCCACATATAGTTTACTCCTTACCCCCTCCCCCCACTCTATCTTCTGTTTAAAAGCCAACATTTTCCTAGCTAACATCAGTTCTGAGGAAGGCTCACTCTACCTGAAATGTTAACTCTGATTTCTCTCCACAGATGTTGCCAGACCTGCTGAGCTTTTCCAGCTATTTCTGTTTTTGTTTCTGAGTTACAGCATCCACAATTCTTTTGGTTTTTATTCACCATGGATACTACACTCAGTGGTACCTGAATGCTCCCAGCTAAGTCCATTGAGTAAGTTTAAGACTGATATTTGTGAAGCCAGATCTGTTCCTTTGGGCTCAACAACAGCCTGTCACACAGACTACACTGCTCTATCAAACATGGCTTGACTGAGGTTAGCTATCTCAGCAAAGACCAGCAATCAAACTGGGATACTTTTCATTTGGATCACTCATTCTTTAAACTGAGGTGTGTATTTACAACCATCAATTGAGTTCCATGGCCATCTCCTTAATAGTTTTGTTTCTCTTACATAATTTGTCATTATCCAGCTAAAACAACAGCTGGATGACTTATTCAAAGGCGTGGCCTAATGTTGCTTTTGGTTTAACACACAGAAAACATGCAAAAGCACAGAGTCCCCTGCCTGCTCAGGCTTTTCCTCCTTCCAGTGGTAAACTATTTAGTCCCTGTGTGCAGCTTCCTGTCAATAACAGGGTGGATAACAGGATATGCGGGATACGTGGCGGTGTATACTGGCACATGTTTGTTTTGTCACACTGACTAACTTTACCCAGAACATAAACGCAGCTTTCTTGCTGTTGATCAGGCACACATGTGAAATCTCAAAAAAGTTGAAAGGGTCACTTCAAGTAACTGCAAACATTGCAACTTGTGTATTGAAAACAATCTTCAAAGGTAGTGCAGTAATGGCAGTGAATTACCTCTCCTGAGTGTTTATTAGCCACATGGATGACAGTGTTAAGTTCTGGCTCCCAGTTTAGTGCATGGCTCAAACTTTTGCCCCTGAACTTGGATGTAAGAATTTTCAGTACATTTATTTTCAGCGGTTGCTCAACAAAGATGATATAGTTCTTGGACATTCCTGTCATGGAAAAATTCATCATCATTAGCATATTTTTATAGAGTCCAATGCATCCATTCATAATTTTACCATTTTTGTATGTGTGAATTTCGTAAAACTAGTAAGTAAGAAAAGTAGCCCCACAAGAGAGAGACGACTGGTGGTATGTTTAAACTGAGGGTCAGCACATCGCAGGTGGGGAGTGAATTTGAGAACTTTGTGGTATCCTCAGCCTGGTGAGGGAACAGAACCTATGCTGGTGGTGTTTTGCTACATCACAAACCAGCCAACCCCTTTGCAAAGAAGGTTTGGAGACAGATGCAAGGTTCGTCCCACACAGCTATGCGATGCAGGACTCTATGCTCTACAGGCTGTTTCCTGGGACACACACTGAGACAAACATTGACTACAACTGGAAGACCATCAACTCAGTGAAAGATGCTCTTTAGTCTGCCCGAAACTTGTTGGTCTTCCAGGGCAAAGAGTTGACCTATACTGAGTGCTGCAGACTGGCACATTCCATGGTCCAGGACCCCGTGCTGAGGGACACATTAAAGTTATGGGAAGGTGCTACCAAGGCTCAGTGGGGAAAGACCACCATCCAAAGTCTTAAGAAGGGTCTGTTCAGTTATCAGACCCTCTCAGTACCTCAAAGTACATAAATGATGTCCGACATGAGTAAGAAGTGTCTTTGGTTTTTGCAGCTGTAGGTCATTCTAAGGGAATATATCATCATCCAAACATTCCTTAGAATATTAAAAAAAAGCCAAAAAAAGGTACTCCTTTGATAAAGATAACAAGGTGTAGGGCTGGATGAACACAGCAGGCCAAGCAGCATCAGAGGAGCAGGAAGGCTGACGTTTTGGGTCTAGACCTTCTTCAGAAATGGATAGAGTTGTATGTTGTCCTTTGATGTGTGTTTCATTTGGTCTTTGTCGGAGGAAAATTTACAAGTCAAGTCACAATCTATGCTAGTACTAAGTAGTTATGTCAAACCAAAGCTGTGGTAGTAAGAAGGCTTCATGCTGTCCACTGGTGTAATGCCACAAACAATTCTGGCGCCTTCAAGTGTCTCCCCATCATCTGACTTCTGCGGAGGAACTGCAATGATGTTATAGATCGTGCCTATGAAACAAAACATACATATAAAATGACGGGATATTCCATTCGGCCTGGCAATTCTGCTTGGGTTTCAAACTGCATGTGTCACCGAACTCAATTCTGTACACACCCCATAACCTTTATTATTCTTCATTCACCAATGACAATCATTATTGAAAGAATTATTGAACCGACATGGTTTGTGATAGAGAATTCACCTTCAAACCACCCTCAGTTTAACGAGATATTTTCCAGTCACACCTTAATTTTTTGCGCAATTCTCTTAAACCTCTGGCCTCTTGTTATCATATCAGCAATCAGTGCAAACAACCTATTACCACTTATGTTATCATTACCCCTCATGAAGAACTTTATTGAGTCACCTCTCAGCTCCAGTAAAAGAAAAGTCTTTATTTTCTATCTGCTTATCGAATATCTACCAGGTTGTCAAGCACGGGGTTTTCTTATATTATCAAGAAACAATGCTGTTGAAACTTAAACAAAAACAGAAAAATACTGTGGCTACAGGAATATGTCAGAGACTAAGAATTCTGCAGTGAGCACCCATCTGCCCAAGCCTATCCACCATCTAGAGGCTCAAGTCAGGATGGAATACTACCCCCTTGCCTTAATAGATGCAGTTCCTGCAACACTCAAGAAACTTGACACTGTCCAGGGCAAAGCAACTTACTTGCTTGGCATCCTGTCGACCACCTTCAACATTCAATCCCTTCACTACCAATGCACAGTGGCTGCAGTATGTGCCATCTCTAAGATGCACTGAAGTGGCTCACCAAAGCTCCTTAGACAGTACCTTCCAAACCCATGAACAAAAACAAAGTTGCTGGAAAAGCTCAGCAGGTCTGGCAGCATCTGTGGAGGAGAAAACAGAGTTAACGTTTCGGGTCCGGTGACCATTCCTCAGAACTGATGGTGGCTGGGAAAACGTCAGTTTATATGCAGAAAATAGGGAGGTGGGTGGGGTAGGGAGTAAACGATAGGATAGAGCTCAAAGAGAGAGAAAGACAGTTGAACAGACAAAGGAGTTGCTAATGATCAGGCTGGGTGAATAGTTGTTAATGGGCACTGTTAGTGACTAACAACAGGGGGTGTGTAATGGCGGGCTATGTGGTAACAAGGCCTGATGTGTGGGGTGGGGGGCTGGGACATGGGAGAGTTTAGACCCTAAAATTATTGAACTCAATATTGAGTCCGGAGGACTGTAGGGTCCCCAAGCGGAAAATGAGGTGTTGTTCCTCCAGCTTGCATTGGGCTTCACTGGAACACTGTAGCAAGCCAGAGACAGAGATGTTGGCCAGGGAGCAGGGTGGTGCATTGAAGTGGCAGGCAACAGGTAGTTCAGGGTCTTTTTTGCGAGCAGAACGTAGATGTTCTGTGAAGCAGTTGCCAAGTCTACGCTTCGTTTCCCCAATGTAGAGGAGACCACATTGTGAGCAGCGAATGCAGTAGACTAGATTCTTGGAAGTGCAGGTGAAGTGTTGCTTCACCTGGAAGGTATGTTTGGGCCCTTGGATAGTGGGGAGAGAGGAGGTAAATGAGCAGGTGTTGCACCTTCGCCGGTTACAGGGGAAGGTGCCGTAGGGCTGTGGGGAGGTGTTGGGGGTGAAGGAAGTGTGGACCAGGGTGTCCCGGAGGGAACGGTCCCTGCGGAAGGCGGACAAGGGAGGGGGGAGGAATATGTGTCTGGTGGTGGCATCTTGCTGGAGGTGGCTGAAATGGCATCTGATGATCTTCTGGATGTGGATGCTGGTGGGATGGTAGGTGAGGATAAGGGGAACCCTATCGCTGTTGCGGGAGGGAAGAGAAGGGGTGTGGGCAGAAGTGCGGGAGATGGGTCGGACCCGATTGAGGGCCCTGTCGACATCTCTACCGTCTAGAAGGACGGGGCAGTAGATACATGGAAACGCCACCATCTGCAAGTTCCCCTTCAAGTCACACACTATCCTGACTTAGAAATAATGTTGCCTTTCTTCACTGTTGCTGGGTCAAATTCCTGGAATTCCCTTCAAAATGTTACTCTCAGAATCCCACACTGCACGGACTAAAGCAGCTCACGGTGTTATCTCACCACCATCTTCTCCACGGGAATTTGGGATTGATATTAAATACTGGCCTAGCTAGTGACACCCACATCACATTGACAAATAAAAGGAAATAAAATTTTGATTCCAATAATGGCGCAGTATTTAAGTATCCAGTGTGGAACTGAGGCACAGAGAATATTCTCACATTGTCAAATGATTCTGACATACCGTAATAACATGAAATTAAGCCACAAGGTGACATATGTATTTCTACGGCTGTTATGTTGTCTAATTTCAATGAAATTAACATGGCAACAACAGTGTCTCATTGACGAAAAACAACAAGAGAATATTTAAGCACTAAAAATGAACAGTTTAAAATTAGAATCTTGAGCAATTTGAGGAGGTACACATGAACTGAAAAACTCACAGAAACAGAATGTCTGTGTTCTATGATTTTAACACTTTACTGCTTCACAGTAAATTGTCAGATTAAGCAGTTTATATGAGATAATGACCATAATATATGGTGTGAGAATGTCCTGAACGGAGTGTTGTTAAGTCAAATTGCTAGGCACAAGTTTTTAGATGTAATACTCCACCTGAACTTAGTTTAACTGACAGAAATAATTGTGCAGAAACAATAGTCCAATTCTTGCAGCTTTTAATGGGACATCGGCTGGGAGAAATTGTTAAAAAGAGGCAGTCTTTACATGTTCCAATAATTTTATGTTTGACTGTAGCTAGCTGCATAGGACCAATGCTGAGACAACCTGTGAACAGATAGATAATGTACTGTCCCATAAAATGTAAAATTGCAACAATCATAGAACTATATTCAGGCTGTGTACAGTTAGTCTTTCTAAAGGGCACTTACTGTGCCATCCCAGGAAGGAGAATCATGGATGTTAGTGCGGATCCCATCACACTGTCAACTAACAGGAAGAGTCTGAATGATAAACAATCCACTGGACTCCCACTCACAAGAAAATGGGTCTCCGACAAAGCTACATAGTTGGAATGGGACCAGCTCCAAAGGGATTCCTGTCCATTGTTTGTAGAGATGACATATGATTTTATGTCGTTATAGGGCAAATTTACCATTTGTTCCATATGAATTGCCCATATTGTAGGTTGTCCCATCAGGATCGTAATGTGGATGGGCTGTTGCTCCATTGACTGCAATAAATTTGGTCCAATCCACCTAGCAACAAAATCATAAAGGACACAGATGAAGAGCTACCTAGCAACAAAATCATAAAGGACACAGATGAAGAGCTACCTAGCAACAAAATCATAAAGGACACAGTTGAAGAGCTACCTCACAATAAAATCATGAATTCACTGATAAAGATTACTGTTGTAACAGTAAAACATTTTGGTTGCTTGTCATGTACTTTTGAACGAATTTACTATGTTTATAATGGAGCACGCTGCTTGCTCTGCCTTAAGTTAATTAAATGGAACATAAAATACAAGGCTCATCTATATACCATTGATATCTGGGCCAGAACCTTTAGACACCTTTGATGGCTTAATCAAATTTCCACATTTGTAACAACACCTGGGAGAGTGGGGCTTGATTTCCAGACCATTATAAGACCATAACATAAAAAAGCAGAATTCGGCCATTCAGCCCATTGAATCTGCTCTGCCAATCAATCATGGCTGATATGTTTCTTAATGTTTCTCATTCTCCTGCCTTCTCTCCATAACCCTTGATCCCCTTACCAAACAAGAACCTATCTATCTCTGTCTTAAAGACACTCAATAACTTGGCCTCCACAGCCCTCTGTGACAATGGGTTCCACAGATTAACCAGCCTCTGGCTGAAGAAATTCCTCCTCATTTCAATTTTAAAGGGTCATCCTTTCAGTCTGAGGCTGTCCCTTAGGTCCTAGTCTCTAATACTAGTGAAAATATCTTTCCCGCGTCCACTCTATCCAGGCTTCTCAGTATTTTGTAAATTTCAATCAGATCCCTCCTCTCCTCCTCATCCCTCTAAACTCCATTGAGTACAGACCCAGAATCCTCAACCGCTCCTCATATGCCAAGTTCTTCATCCCTATGATCATTCTTATAAACCTCCTCTGGACCCATCCAAAGCCAGCACATCCTTTCTTAGATAAGGGGCCAAAACTGCTCACAATTTTCCACATGCAGTCTGACCAGAGCCTTATACAGCCTCAGCAGTACATCCTTGCTCTTGTATACTAGTCCTCTTGAAATGAAAACTGACATTGCATTTGCCTTCCTAACTGCCAACTGAACCTGCATGTTAACTTTAAGAAAATTCTGAACACGGACTCTCAAGTCACTTTGTGTTTCAGATTGCAAAGCCTTTTCCCATTTAGAAAATAGTCTTTTCTTCCTACCAAAGTGCATAGCCTCACACTTTCCCACATTACATTCTATCTACCCACTCTCTGACCCTGTCTGCAGCCATCCTAGTGAATTTTAATTACTTCCCAAAAGTATTCACCAAACAAGAATAGCATCTGTCTTTCACAAAAAGAAGACCACAGCAAAGAAGATAATCATCACTTCCAGCAAACTAACTTCAACGAAAAGTAAATCTGGACAAGTGCGTTGGGTAATCAAGGCACCACAGCCAGTTCTACTAGAGCTGAGAATTACCCACATAGTCTAAGACTTTGATATAAATGTGATAGACATGGTGGAAAAACAGGAAGGGTTGAAAACAATAGATCACCTTTGTTCAATTTAGCACTGAGGTCACATATATGAGTCATAATAGGCACCCTTCACACTTTTAACCAAGGGAGATCAAACACTTTTCATAAATTATATTATGTTTCCTAAGTTTCTGCACTTGACATAATTGTACCAATAACCCAAAAAATAAACAAACATGCAAATCAAAAATACTAACATTTTGAAGGTTAGTTTTTTACACCCAAGTGGAAGCTTTGTTCTTCACACTTAATCTAATACAGCAATGAAGTAAAGCTTACCTTTTCTACTGTGTCAAGGGTATTGGGATTCACTTTATGGATAAAATTAGTTTCCGTGGTCGCATAATAATCTCCTTTGTATCGTGCAAAGTTAACACTGCCGTTATCAGTTGCTTCAAAAACAAAATATTTAGAACATTAGTTTTGATCCTCACATGGTTTCAAAGAACAACTGCATTTCTGAATGCTTGGCACATACTTGGCATTTCAAATTTGCTGATGAATCTTGCAAAAATGTTTTTGCAAGGGTCGGGCATCGCTAAAGTTCCAAACTCAGAAACCATGATACGGTTGTTTGCACTATTGGTCTGATAGGTTTCACTGCGTAGAAACTTGCTCATGTAGGTTACATTACCATCTTCAATTCTGAAGTGATGCATCAAAGCCATACCGTCAAACCAATGATTGTACCTAAAGAGAGAGAGACCTGACGTTTATTAAATAGTGCTTACTCGTATATTATGTAGTTTGATTAATTATTGTTTGTAAATGTATTATAACATGTATATTTATAAGACGGTGTGACGGATTGATACATTGCACTAACATACATCAAAGAACTGCAAATCAAAAACAGAAAATGCTGGAGAAACTCAGCAGATCTGGCAGCATTTGTGGAGAGAGAAACAGAGTTAGCATTTCTTTAGAACCCCTCTGAAGTGGGGTCACTGGACTCAAAACATTAACTCTGTTGATCCAGCACTTTCTGTTTTTATTTGATAGATTTTACACTTGTTTTCAATCTTTAATAGTCCACCCTGTACACTTTTTGCCAGGAATAACTTTAGATGATGAGTGAAGATATTTTGAACAATATAACTCTGTGACATCGTTCCAATAATTTTTCCTTCATGTCACCTATAAAAGGTGTACCAAATTTTCCATTCTTAGTAGCCACGCAACTTAATCGTCAATAAATGCATCTGGCAATGGGTGGAGGGCAACCTTGAGTCAGTGATGCTGGCCATCATCAATAATGAAGCCTTACCACGGAAAGTATAATCTGCGCAAATAATGCACTTTCGCTGGAACTTTCATTGTGGATGGCAACGATTCAGATAACAATGAACTCTCCTTGATACCAACCAATGTCAAGGACTTTGAATTGAGATTGCAGTATAGGATGGGCCAAAGGGCTAAAAGTTAATGATGATATTCGACAACTGCATGGGAAACTAGATTGTATGGGATGGGAAAATAGGCCGGGAAAGTTAATAATGATACTTGACAAGCTGCATGACCTTGAATGGGTCCTGTGAACGTTCCTTTATGGGCCGAAGACAACAACTGCAGCTTTTTTTTTGTAGCTGTGTTTTCTGTGCTGGCCAGAAGTTGTGTCTTCTGCAGTTGTTTTTTCTGTGCTTTGTTGTTTGTTACACTGTATAAGAGAGAGAGTTTCGTTTCAAGTTGTTGGACTTTGACTCAGACCAGAATCGTGAATGGTGCAAGGAACAAGCTCAGCCTCCAGACCAGCCATCAATCGAGGGGTCCCCGATGGGCAGAAGGGCATGAGGCTTATTGTTTCTTTCCTCTCTTTTTTATTCTTTTTATTTGCTTAATAAATGTTCCTTTCTTTTTCGCCTTTTATTATTACTCAATAAATGTTCATATTTAAGCAAATTGCTGTTGTCCAGCCTTCATTTAACTACATTTAACTGAATCAGAAAAGAACCGCTTGGATACACTCTGTGATCCAAGACAGTTGCTTTCCTGTGCAGGAGACAAGTCCACTCGAACCTCAGGAAGAAATCTACACAGCTGAGCCGATAGGCCACATTATATTTAGATGGAAAACAGCAAACAGAAAATGCAGGAACTCTAATCGTAGGGTTTATGTTCTTGTAATGCTATTCACCTTCTCCGGACTAAAAAGGGAATAAATTCGTTGGCATTTAATAATGTCGTAGGATTCAAAATGCTAACTCTGTTTGTCTTTTTGCATATGTTGCCAGACCCTGCTGAGTTTCTCCAGCAGTCTCCGTTTTTATTACATTTTATTTCTCCAGCATCTGCAGCATTTTACTTTTATTTAGGGATGAACTGAATTTGAGGAGTCTTATTTCTACAGATCTTTCAATACGTCTAATAAAATTTTTGTTTTCCTTTTTTGCACTCTCACAATTTAATCTTTCTTTCTGTCTCCTGATCTCTCTTTCTTTTCTCAATGTGACTTCAAGTTATCTTATTTCCGTTACTTTAATTGCTACATTAAAGGTACTATATAAATGCAAGCTATAGGGTTCTCATTGGTGCAGTGGTGATATCCCTACCTTTGGGCCAGAAGGTCCAGGTTCAAGTCTCCCCTGCTTTGGAGGTGTGTCTTAATATGTCTGTACAAGTTGATTTAAAATATGCATAATTGCAGTTGTTGCTATTTAAGACACAGGCTGTGGTCCCATGGCTCATGCAAGATTCAAGCTGTCCCATTCCGCTTGTCATGCCATGATTAATTTGCAATCCTTGGAAGTTGCAACAAATGATTTTCAAAGTCAAATTTGAGAGGAAAACTGTATCCACCAGAGCATGGTGCAGCAATGGTGGCTCAGTGGTTAGCACTACTGCCTCATAGGGCTAGGGACCTGGGTTCAATCCCACCTTCAGATGACTGTCTGTGCAAAGTTTGCTCATTCTCCCTGTGTCTGTGTGGGTTTCCTCTCACAGTCCAAAAGATGTGCAGACTAGGTGAATTAGCCATGCTAACCTGTATGTAGTGTCTGGAGATATATAGGTAAGGTGGATTGAGAAATGCAAGGTTATACGGTGGGTCTGGGTGGGATGCCCTTCACAGGATTAGTGTGCACTTGATGGGCTGAATGGCCTGCTTCTACCCTGTAGGGATTCTATGACACTCCACCACAAGCTGTTTTATTCCACTGGGAAATGGGAACTCTCACTTCAAATGTCTAAGATAGGCTGCAACCAAATGATCCATTTCATATTTTGGAAATTACGGTTGATAGCTGGAATTAACATAAAAACATTTTAATTAACCTGTCATGACACAATTCTAGATGTAAGTTGAACCTAGACCTCTAGCCCAGAGGGGGAGGCACTACCATTACACAATTACACTGTCATTGGCATCACGCTGTATCCACCTGAACCATCCGGCCTTGTTTGTACCAACTTAATGCTCATCACTTGAATACAATGAATTCCCAAGTGATACACAATTGATCTAAGTGCATCAATACAGTACAGTGTCATTTCAATCAATCTGTTCTCCTATGAAAATGACTAGTTACTGCTGTTCAACCCTCTTCAGAACACCCATAGTTCTTTTCCGTAATATCATACACAGAAGGACACACTTACTTGTCATTTCCAAACTCAAATTTTCCAGGCCCATTTCTCAGCAGACTTCCTCTTAACCAATTAGGAATTTCCCCTTTGACTTTCACTGGAATGGGTTCAGGGGTTTCTTCCACAGTCATAAACAGAGGTGCTATACTCTCTAATCCCTTTCTCCTGTTGTAGTATATGGGTTCCTTCTTTACATTTGGAAAGAGGTGCCTCAGACCTGAAACAAATACAGTTGAGAAATAGATTCTGTTATGATACAGTTCTGACGTTGACAGTGAACTGTAGTCCTTGTACTGGGCCTTTTCAGCATTTAGTCTGCATGAGAGCGTGTGTCTGTACAAAATATATTTTGTACTGTAAAATGCTTCAGGAAGCAGCAGTTTAGTCTAAGAAATGCAGGAAGTGAGTATTTGACACACCATATCTTTGCTGGTGCAAGCTCCATTTCAATGCCATCTGTTCTAGTCATTTCATTTCCTCATGCCCTTTGTTAATTTTCACCAAGTATTTGCACAGCTTTCTCTTCATTATCTGGCTTCCATAATCATTAATGCAATTCACATTGAAATAACAGTTTTCATGAAGAAAATCTAAATAATAGCCTGGATCTTGAATTGACTACTTCAATGCAGCTGACAGCAATTTCTTGAGTAATGCACAGTTAATTGCAGAAATCCTGAAGCTAATGCCAATGATTCTATGCATAACCTGAAGGTGCTCAGATGACATACCCTCTGGTTTCCAATCAATTATAAACAACTGAACGGATGCAAACTTGATGTTTTATGCTATTAGCATTGAAATTATTTTTCAGATTCAGAGGATTAGTGAAGTGAAATTCAAAACATACCTTGTCAGTGCAAGAATTATAGGTGTCCCTGACTTAACGAGCTTCCGACTTATGAAAACTTGTACTTAAAAACAAAGTCCTGTATTACCATTAATTTTAAGTATTTGACATGCAAAAGTTTGGTTGTATGTACAAAAGCATATGTTATATTGTACTGTATTGTGGTCCAACTTGCATATAAATAAATTTACAAATGTATTCAAGAACAAAGAGTTGCTCATGAAGCCCCCAGTGCAACAAAGAACGACACATAAAGAGAAGAACTGAGCAAACCACTGAATGTTCAAAGCAAGAAAATGTTTCTGTCCACTCCTTAGACGACATGTCCATCCTGGGCCTCCTCCAGTGCCACAACGATGCCACCTGAAAACCGGAGGAACAGCACCTCATATTCCACCTTGGAACCCTACAACCCTATGGTCTCAATGTGGACTTTACAAGCTTCAAAATCTCCCCACCCCCGACCTCATCCCCTCTCGTCCCCACCTCCTTGACCTGTCCATCTTTTCTCCCACCTAACTGACTAACCCCCACCCCCACTTCCTACCTACACTCACCTACCAGCCTCATCCCCACCTCCTTGACCTGTCCATCGTCCCTCCCATCTACCCGCCCCTCCATCCTCACTGACCAACCCCCATCCCAACTCCCTACCTACACTCACCTTTACTGGCTCCATCCTCGCCTCCTTGACTTGTCCGTCTTCTCTCCACCTATCTGCTCCACTATCCACCTTCTATCATCACCTCCCCCTCTCTCTATTTATTTCAGAGTCCCCTTCCCCTCCCCCATTTCTGAAGAAGGGTCCAGACCCGAAACGTCAGCTTTCCTGCTCCTCTGATGCTAGACTCCATCACATTCCCTGGCAACTGCCTGAAACTGATCCAGACATTTTGCGGACTGGCTATTCTGGTTGACAAACAATACAAGTTTTTATGCGTATTGCTAATTAGGTCTCCAATATCCAATTGCAATAATTCACCTGACTTGCCCCTTGCCTCAGCTTATACGTTGCTGAAACTGTCACCCATGCCTTTGTTTCATCCAGGTTTAGCTATTCTATTGCACCTCTGCATGACATCCCCAGTTTTACCCACTGAAAATTCAAGATTATTTAAAACTCTTCTTTTTGAGTTACACAGTGGTTAGCATTGTTGCCTCACAGCACTAGGGACCCAGGCTCAATTCTAACCTTTAGCAACTGTCTGTATGGAGTTTGCTTGTTCTCCCTGTGTCTGCATGAGCTTCTTCTGGGTCCTCTGGTTTCCTCCCACAGTCCAAAGATGTGCAGGTTAAGCGGATTGGCCATGCTAAATTGCCCCATGGAATGTAGGGATGTGCAGGCTAGGTGGATTTGCCATGGCAAATATGGGGTTTTGGGGGGAATGTCTGGGTTGGATGCTCTTTCGAGGGTGGGTGTAGACACAATGGGCCAAATGGCCTTTATCTGCATAGTAGCAATTCTGTGATTTAACTCGTTGCAAATCCCATTTCTTGTCTCCCTTGCTGATTAAAATCTGTTCCCTGCTAATCTGAACTCTGACTACAAAATTATCTTACTTATTTTCAAATCCTTCCGAGGCCATGCTATCCCACCATTTCCATAATCTCCTCCAGCCACACAATCCTCTGAGATCTGTACTCCTCTAACTCTGGCATCTTGAGTATTCTCAAATTTTAACTGCCCCAGTGTTAGTGCCGATCTTCAACTGCCAAGACCCAAAGCTCTGGAATTACCTCCCCGCATCTCTCTCCCTTCCTACCTCTATTTCCTCATTTAAGATGTTTCTTAAAACCAATGCTCCGATCAAGATTTTCTTGATCTGGCCTCATATTGTGCTAAGCAGTTTAATAAAACCTGTAACCCCAAGGAGATGATGGCCTCGTGGTATTATCACCAAACTATTAATCCAGAAACTTCAGCTAAATGCTCTGGGAATCTGGGTTCAAATCCTGACATGGTGGAATCTGGAATTAAGGGTCTAAACTTACTGTAAAACAATTGCTGATCGTCAAGAAAACTCCATAATGTCTTTTAGGGAAGGAACCTGCCATCCTTAACTTGGTGGGCAATTAGGAATGGGCAATGAATGCTGGCCAAGCCAGAGATGCCCACATCCTGTGTGCGAATTTAAAAAAAAAAGCCTTTTAAGATATTTCATTTCAATAAAAATGATATATGAATGCAAGTTGTTGATAATACATTACATCCAACTAACCTAGAAGAGATCTATTTAAAATCATATCATCAAGCTTTTATTTTGTTTTACTTCTCATGCAACTAAGTAACCCAAAGCACAAAACATTCTCTTGTTTACCGAGTTTCGCTTGTATCACATTTCAGTGCACCAGAATTTACAATGTTGTATTGTATAGATTAACTGTATAAACACTGAAACAAAACAAAACCTCCAAGACCCACAAGTTATTTTTGTACTTTTTTCATAAAAATCAACCTCCACTTTAAAAATAAACCATGTCTTGTTTACCTGGTACACCCCTCCATACCGTAGAAATAACATCCATAAAGTCCTCCATTATAATCCAAAAAAACTGTAGGGACATTTTCCCCATGACAGTTAGAATATCCATTCATGAATTCCTTCTTTTTCTGACAACCAAGTCAATATTGTCAATAATTTATTTAAGTTGGATTTTGCTGCGAGACTTTGAACTGCTAGCAGTAAGACTGTATCCAGTGAGTCAGAAGCTTATGTAATGGCAGTAAAAATGTCAAAATAAAAGTCTCCATCCAGATTCATTTGCTGTTATTGGAGATCATTCTGAGAAGTGCTAATTACGTAAGAAATAGGAGCAGGTGTAGGCCATCTGGCCCATCAAGCCTGGTCCGCCATTCAATAAGATCATAGCTGATCTTCTCGTAGACTCAGCTCCACTTACCTACCTGCTCACCATAACCCTGAATTCCCCTACTGTTCAAAAATCTATCTATCTTTGCTTTAAAAATATTCAATGAGGTAGCCTCAACTGCTTCTGTGGGCAGGGAATTCCATAGATTCACAACCTTTTGGATGAAGAAGATCCTCCTCAACAAAGTTCTAAATCTGTTCCCCCCTTATTTTGAGGCTATGCCGCCAAGATCTAGTTTCACCTGGCCCGTTCCTATGCTGTACTGTTCTATATTCCCAATATATGAGAACATGAAACCAGTTAACTGGTTTGCAACCAAGATCCAAGATTAAAGGATAAATTGATGAAATTATTAATAGGATCAATGTGAGGGCCCTGTGGCACAGTAGTAGTGTCCCTAACTCTGAGTGAAGAGGCTTGGGTTCAAATCCTACCTATTCTGGAAGTATACCACAACATCTATGGACAGGTTGATTAAAAATACCAAAATGGTAATGTCCCTACCTCTGGATCAGAAGGTCTGGGTTCAAATCCGACCTGCTCCTGAAGTGTGTAGTAACGTTTCTGAACAAGTTGATTAAGAAAATGTTTAAATAGTGTTGGTGTGAGATGATCAGATGTGCTGATGATCTGCATCTATTTCACTATGATACTTATGTTAGCTCCCATAACATGAATATGAGACATGGGTCACATAATACCGAAGAATTGAATATACTTGAACAACAGTTCCTGATATTCACATATGTAGACCTCAATCACAGGCACTTGTGTGTTTGAGTTCAAACCAAGCAGTTGGGAGTATTGTACCATGTTTCCTCAGCATGTCAGAGCTCAGCAAGGTGGAGACTCAGAACTTTATACCATTAGGTCACATGTCATGATACTGTGATGACAGCTGAACTTGCATATTGGCATTGCAATGCAATTGTGTCACTGCACAGAATTGATGATCTGTTATATGATTTGAAACAGTAGGTTATACTGTAGATTGCCACATATTGGAATACATTTCTTTTAGTATACTTAGTGGTAAAAATGTTGGCATTATTCCTGCATCAATTCTGGCATTCAGATGTGTTGACCTGCCTTCAGAGGACACATGGTGTTGATGGTCATACACGTTTCAGCTCGACAATATGTGAGGTAGACTATACAAAAGGCTTGGTCATTCTAAATGTTGTTTCTCAGTTTTCTGGCTGTTCACTTTGTTAACATGTTTGTATATGTTTGGATGATTTTCTGTGCTGCCAGCTTGGTTGTGTTATATCACCTTGTTGGTCACCTAGGTTTAGTCTGGTTTTTGAAATCAGATTTTCTGCACATGCCTGCCCAATGTGCTTTGGTGCCAGATGCTTCTGGATGTGAGGAAATGCCAGACAATGTCTGTGTAGGTGTGACAAACCACAATTAAGATAGATCTTGACAGTTTGGTGCATTTTGATGACCTTAGGAATGGTGTTGACTGTACCCAAAGCATGTTTGATGTTGGCCTGCCACTATGGTTTGATGCTGGTGATCATCTTCCAGCAGGGCATCAATGGTCCTTCAGCTAGCCAAAAAGTTCTTGCCAGAAGACTTTGATTAGAGTAGAAGTGATTACCAACATGAATAGCCTGTCTGCGAGTTCTTCTTTAAGGAATTCATACTCGTCCTCTGTTGCAGCATCTGGCATCAAAGTTGTCAATGAATTCTTGGGATTTCTGCCTGTTTCTGATTGAGCTAATATACTCAAGTACTCTCCGGGCCTTGTTTTTAATCATCTTTTGAAAGACCAGATATATTTATCCTATGAAATCCCTCAGCTGAAACCAAGTAATATGTTAAGAGATCTCCTTTCAGGATCATTTATTGCTTGATCTGCATATGCTGTTTAAATAGCTGTAGTTGGAAAGATGTCACTGCTGCCCAAATCATAATCAAATGCTGACCTTCTATTTCTTCTAACAGTCCATGGCTTTTGTTTTACTGAAACACTGTGCAGGGCTTGTTTGTTTCTTTACTTTGTTTGCTGATCTATCCTTTTATTTTTTTCTTTTCTTTGCTTTTATATTAGTTTTCACAGGTGTAACCTCTATAAAACCTGTTGATGAATGTGGGTCTGCACATTTAAAGAGATAAAAGTGATAACAGGTTTCAGTGACGGGGGCTGAGGGTTGGATTTTGGAGTGATGACGTTACACCAGTCTTGGTATTTAATTGAAGAAATAAAATTGTGGAACCGACTGACTACTGCACACAGATGAGTTTCTCTGTGTTAAGAAATCACTAAACCAAATGGACTGCTATGGTTGAAGAAAGCAGTTCAGCACCATTGTCCCAAGAGCATTGTCTAGAGATGGGCAACAGAGATGGTCTAGCCAGTGATGCCCACCATGGATTAATAAAATTGCTTGATAACTGCTTACTTGATAATGGCATAATGGAGCCTCCATCTAAATCATAGCCCCTGGCAGCTTTCAGTGGGTCCCCTGGTCACCTCCTAAAATTAGGCAGGAGACAGTGTGTACTGGTACTGAGCCTGAATGAATGATCCAGAGGCGAGGTGACAAGGTTTTACATCCAACCATGGCAACTAGTGGAGTATAATTCAATTAATACTCCCTCCCTAACAGCATTATTGGTGTACTACATCAGTTGGACTACCAAAGTTCAAGGCAGCAGCTCCCCATCACATTCTCCAGTGCAATTAGGGGTGAGCAATAAATGCTGGCCCAAAATTTCAGGTGAGTTGAGAGTGACTGCAAATTACATCAGGCTACATTTGACCAAGTATGACATCTAGGTACCCTAGAAAAACTAGGAGTCAATGGGAGTCAAGGGAAAACTCCACGCAGGTTGAAAGGAAGATGGTTACATTGTTGAGGCTGTTGAGGTTGGTTGGCTCGCCGAGCTGGTTTCTTGTTTCGCAGATGTTTCATTACCATGCTGGGTAACATCTTCAGTGCAGCCTCCAATGAAGCGTTGGTGTGTTCTCCCGCCTGGTTTTTAAACTCTGGGGTCCATTGAGATGGATTGTCTCACTTCTGGTTTTCCTTCGTAGTGGAATGTACATGGGGTCGAGTTCAATCTGTTTATTAATAGCATGCTTCGTGGAGTGCCATGCTTCTAGGAATTCTCGCACCTGTCTCTGCCTAGCCTGTCCCAGGATCTTGGTGTTGTCCCAGTCGAAGTGGTGGTTCTCCTTGTCCATGCGGATTGAGATGAGTGAGTATTGGTCGTGTCTTTTTGTAGCCAGTTGGTGTTTATGTACTCTTGTTGTTAGTTTCCTTCCTGTTTGTCCAATGTAGTGTTTCTCGTAGTCTCTGCAGGGGATCTTGTAGATGACACTGGTCCTGTCCATGACGGGGAGTGGGTCTTTAGTTCAGGTGAGCAGTTATCGTAGGGTTGACGTGGGCTTGTGTGCTACTCTGATGCCCAGCAGTCATAGGAGTCTTGGGGTGAGTTCCGACATGTTCCTGATGTAGGGTAGTGTGATGAGTGTGTCGGGGCGTGTAGTATCTTTCTGATGCTGTTCGTGTAGGCATCTTCTGACCCAGTTCTTTGGATATCCATTATCCTTGAACACTTGGAAGAGGTATTCTTCTTCCTCTTGGCATAGTTCCGTGTTGCTGCAGTGTGTTGTTGCCCTTTTAAATGGTGTTCGCATGCAGCTTCATTTGTGTGTGCTGAGATGGTTACTGTTGAAGTTCACTACCTGGTCTGTGTGTTTGGCTTTTCGGCGTACTTTCGTTTGCAGTTCCCCATTTGTCTTGCGCTCTACCATAACGTCCAGGAATGGGAGCTGTTTGTTCTTCTCCTCTCTGGTGAATTTTATTCCGGTGAGGGTGTTGTTTATAAGTTTGTGCGTCTCCTCTAATTTGGTCTGTTTAATGATGACAAAGGTGTCGTCTACGTAGCGTATCCATAGTTTTGGTTGGATTTGTGGAAGGGCAGTCCTTTCTAGCCTTTGCATCACTGCTTCTGCTATGAGTCCGGGGATAGGTGATCCCATGGGTGTCCTGTTGATTTGCTCGTATGTTTGGCCGTTGAAAGTGAAGTGGGTGGTGAGGCATAGGTCCAATAGTTTGAGCATGTTGTCCTTGGAAATGGTTTCACTGGGGTCGTGCTCTTATTCCAGTAGTGTTGCCATTGTTTCCCTTGCTAGTGGTATGTCTATTGATGTGAATAGGGCAGTGACATCAAACGATATCATGGTCTCTTCGTCCTCTATCTTTATTTTGAGGACTTCTTGGGCTGAGTGGATAGAGTGGGGTGACTTGTTGACTAGGTACCTGAGTCTTCTTTGTGGTTCTTTGGCTAATCTGTGCGCTGGAGTGCCTGGTAGGCAGCTATGGGTCTGAAGGGGACTTCCGGCTTGTGCACTTCAGGGAGGCCATAGAATCGGGGTGCGTTGGTTCCTTCGGGTTTCATTCTTAAGAAGTCTGTTTTGTTGATCTGTCCTGTTTGTTTAAGTCTTTGTAGCGTGTAGAGGATTTTGTTGCCTAGTTGCGGTGTCGGGTCAGTTTGTACTGGCTGGTATGTGTTCTCGTCGGCGAGCAGTGCTTGTGCTTTGGAGACGTAGTCCCTTTTATTCAGTATCACTGTCATGCACCCTTTGTCTGCTGGTAGTATTGTGATGTTCTTGTCCTTCTTTAATCTGTCCAGGGCCTGTTTTTCACGTGTGTTGAGTTCACTCCTTCTGGTTAGTGTCGGGATTACTGTCTGTCTTATAGTTTATTGTGTTTCTTCATTGATATTGCTGGTCTTGAGTGTGGCTTCCAGTGTGACTAGGAATTCCGTTGTGTTGGCGTCCCTGTAGTTGTAGTTCAGTCCTCGGGTGAGAACGGCTTTTTCCGTGTCTGTCAGTTTCCTGTCGGAGAGGTTTCTTATCCATTTGTCTGTTCTGTTGTTGTCGTTTTGGTGGGTAAGTGTGGCTAGCTTGTCTTGCACGGTCTGGCTTTTCTTGGTTCTTGTGGTCTGTCGGCTGATGTTAATGGCTCGTTCCATGTCAGTTGTCCATGATTGATAGCTTCCAGGAATAACGTTTTTTGGTGCATAATTTCCCTGTTGT